TGAGGAAATCAGATGGCACACAGCAGGTGTGCAGCCACACAGGCCCCGCAGGGCCAAGGCCCCCCTGGAGCAACAACAAGGCCCTCCTGGGACAGTCGCCAGGGTCCCGAGTCAGGAACCCAGCTGAATGGGCAGCGATGGCCCCGTTTTTGTTGTTGGTGTTAAAACTGAAAATGGTCTGGTCCTGGGTTTCATTTATTTTTAGGGTTGTCTTTTGATTTTAAATTAAATCATTAAATAAAAATAAATAAAAAATATGCATATTGTGTTGGATTTTCTTCAGGCTGTGGTAGGCCCACTGTCAATAGAGTGGTGTTGAGTTCTAGAGGAGGGCATTCTTTTTGTCCCGGGCATATACCCTGCCCGGGTTCTTTTATTTTCACTGCATCTTAAATATGAGGACATCCTGGAGATGGTCCTGCAGGGGAGAGCGCTCGTCCTGACCTGAGCCCTGAGACGGATTCGGATTCTGCCACTTAGCAGTCATTAAAGTTCTGCACATTTCTCCTTACTCTACAGCCTAAAATCTTTTCACTTACAAGAGCGGGTTTGGGGGAAATTAAAAACTATGTATTTTGAAAATACTTTCTGAAACAAAGGAGATGCACCCATATAAACACTGATCGTTACTATTGCTACCACCAGAGTATAAGATTTCTTTTCACTTTTGACTCTAATATTTTCCTCTGAAATTTCCCATCAATTAAAACATGCATGTTATGCAATTGTTCCTTTCTAAAAATCCAAAAGCTCACATTCTCCTTCTCCCCTTGAACCAAACTGGTGACTCATGTTGGAGCTGATCACCCGACTGTGTTGGCTGGGTCAGCCCTGTCTGACTGTCCTAAGCTTTGCTTAGCTCACTGCCTACTGGCATTGGGAATATGCTAAAAGTTTCCTTTGTAAAGTGTGTAATTTGTATTTTTTCTTTTGCTACTTTAAAAATAATTGCCGGGCATTATTCTGTAGCAAGGACTTGGCCATCTAAAATTTTTGCTCTGTGTGAGTGCTACCTTTCTGATCTCTGGCCACCTCTACAGCCTCCACTTAGAAGCCCCGCTGCCTGTGTGTGCCTAACTGCTTCTGTGGCTCTGCCGTGTGTTTTTATCATTGTTACAATGACCGTCTGTCCGGGGCCTCATGAACCTGCAGCTGTAGCGCAAGAGGAACGTCTTATCTGGGTAATCACAAGAGAGAACTTGTCATTTAAAAAGACACTGTGAGGACTTGAATGATTCAGAGAGAATGTACTTTCTGCTCTGGTTAAAAGAAGAGAACCATCCTTGAGAACATGTCTGAAAAAGCTCTTCAAGAAACCAAAGGTCCAGGTTAGCACACTCATTTAGTCAGATAAAGAATAACCTTATCTGTTCACATTCCAAAAAGAATCTGCTTTTTGCTGATTATAAAATATTCTTTCCCAAAGTCTATTTGAATTGTAGCTCCCATATAATAAAATTCGAATGCATTTCATTTCCAATAGATAAACCTCTAAAATATACTTAATAAAAGTAAATGGGTGGAATCAGATTTTAACATATTATTGAGTTCATAATACTCAAATTTTTAATTATCACTGGTCAGTCAAGTTTGGTAAAGTATATTTTTTCAAATGATGGTAAATTAATCCCAGTTTAAAAGTAATATTATATATTTTCACATTCCATCATTTGAAATATTTTTCTGTGCTACTTTTTCTATACCACGTACTTTTGTTTACAGGTCTCACTAAAATAGCTATAATGCCTCAAATAATACAATATCTTCTCCAAACATGACATCAAATAAGCTGACTGTCAAATAAGGCCTCTGTTCATTCTGTCATACCCTTGACTCATGCTGTTATATAACTTGAACCTAATAGAAAAATTACAAAAGCTATTGAAAATGAGCTGCTGATGACTCTGATCAAATTGGGAGAAAGAGAAGAAACAATACTCATATATTTTCAAAGTCATTTCACATTAGTTATCTTATACTTTCACCAAATAGTATTTTACTTATCACATTTATAAACGTCCTGATTGCTGAAGCCGCGCTCTTCACAAACACTGCCTATAGCACTGCACATCCACAAAAGCTTGCACTTGCTTTTTCTTCTGCTCGCTGAACAGTTTTCTGTAGCCCTCCCTCCCCTTCCCCAGTGGTCTGGCTTCTTTTATGCATTTGCAGTTGTCAGCATTTCCCTTGTCTCCAAACGTACAAACTCAGGCCTCTGGTGTTTCTCCTGCTCACCACCTACTCTTAGGGCAGAAAACTTTCTCCACCGCAATGCAAAGCATTAAAGAATCCTGCCCCTTCCTCTATAGACTGGTCCAACTTAGACCTGCCCAGCAAACTCTGTGTGGTTAAAGAGAGAGCCCAGGGACAGCCAAGAGGCAGCACTCTGTTACTGGCGTGGTGAACTGTCAGCTCTCCATCACTCCCACTTTTCCTGACTGTGAGACAAGCTAAGGACAGTAGCCCACGGGTTCCTCCTAGGACTTAGCTCAAACACATAACAATGGGTGCTTAATAAGGTGATAGCTATTATTTTGTCAAAAATTTTAAGTCAAGTAAGTATTATGGCACTTTCTTTACATTTTAACAAAATTATTCTTAAGCATGTTTAGAGTAATAAGCAAGGGAGAGAAGCCTTGTATAAGAAGGGAAATCAATGGAGACGTGTACTCCCAGATGGCCAGGTGTCCTTTGTGCTTGCTGAAAACTACACCCTGCCAGTCAGGGTGTGTGAAACCTGGCTTCTCACTGCAGTGGAGACCCTGCTTCATTGAAAGCAACTGGACATGCAGGGTCAAGAGTTAAAAGCACTCAGAGTGCCCGATGTAAAATTCCACTTATAGGAATATCTTCCAACAGGAATGATCTCAAATACTTGAAACAGTTGTAAGCCCAATATGCTCAATGCAGGAAAATTTGTAACAGCACAATCAGAAACAATGTAAGCATGCCAAATTAGGGAAGGAGCTGATGATGAAGCTTTCATACACTGTAAAAATACTCATCGATTTTCAAATCATACATTTTAAAGCATTTGTAATAACAAAGTATTAGGCATGAGAAAAGAACAGAACAAACTGAAGGTGCAGTATGATTCCCAACCATAAAAATATGCAGGGAAGCAAGGGGAAGAAAACCCACCAAGATACAATTTTTTTCTCTGTGGTGGGATCAAGGATATTTTCCTTTTTTTATGTACATACTATTCTATGCCTCACATATTTTCTACAGTTTACTAATAAACATTGTTTTAGAATGGACTATTGCCCTTACATCCAAAAAAAATTTCTCCAACAGCTAATTCTCTAGGGAGGTTGAAGAGTATTCTACCACTTGTTCAGTGTTAGTTCCTAGAAACTAACAATTATCTCTCTATTTTGAAATTGCTCTGAAAAAGCCACCAAATTAAATGAGAATTAAATATAGCTTCTTCTAGTGGCTAAATTCCATATGCTACATCACTTCATATTTCTTTGCATCCACCAGGAGTGTAATAATCTCATACCTATAGAATGCAAATTCACAATAATATATTTGACCAAATCATAAAAAGACAATACATGTTCCCAATCCTAGCATATTCCTCACCTCTGAAATATTGCCAAATATTTGCAGGATATCAGTAAACAAACTATCGACCTAACGCATTCACTTGGGAATTTGAATATTGTGTATGATTTCACTTATATACACATTTTTCAGAGAAACACTGGGAATATCATGGTCTATAGGATTTAACAGCTGGGGGAGACCTTAGAAAGGAGATGAGTGAAGGCATAGAAGGGGAGGTGTCCATGCAAGATGAGTAGGGCCAGTACCACGACAAAAGCTCTGTCCCTAAGGAATGCTCGGAATGGCTCAAAGGACTGCTGCATGGACACGGTGCTCCTCCCGGGGTACTGAGGATAGGCCTGCCCCTGACCAACCTGGACCACAGTCCCAGTGCCATTACTGACCAGCCACAGCACCTGAGGGCAGTTACAAGTCTCTCTGTTTCTCAGTTTCCTCCACTGTACAGACCTGGGAAGGTCAAAGAGCAGAAGAAGTGCAGAGGACAAAGAGAGGATGTTGTGAATCTGGGAGGATTCTCTGTAGTTGCCAGACAGAAGTGGTCTCTCCGGGCTGCCTAGAACCAATGTATTCTCAAGGCCCCTCCATGATTCACCCAAGCATACAGTGTACTGTGTAGCCTCTGGGGTCAATTTTTGCAGAACAGGTACTTGGCAAACTTTTGTCCTGAAATTTAATTTCTTAATTATTCTACATCACTTTCAAGTTATAATCCCTTTGATTAGCCATAACACTTTCGGGAAGGCATGGGGAGAGGAGAAACATCACTACCTCCTAAGAACATTTATCAGGAATGTTGGTTATCACGAGTTGGATGAGGAATGATTAGAATCAATATACTGACACTAAAGACCAGGTGGGAGGAGCTTGAAGGAATTGAAGACACCAGACCCCCAGGGGTGTTTGGCTGAACCTCCTGTAGTTTCAAGTACCGGTGTCTGCATTCAGATGCCTACAGTTCACGGCCTTTGGCTCAGGCCAGGACCACCGCGAGTGCTTGTTAAAGCTACATAGTGTAGGCTCGGTTTTAAATACAAATTCCTTCACATAACGGAACCAAGGAGAGCAGTCAAAATGTTGAATGCCGTCTTGTCTAACAAGCCATAAGTGTTCTTTATACATGTGAACTTCTGAATCTTGTTTTACCCTGAGTAAAAGGAAACCCAGCTGACTCTGAAACTATCTTCTGCCTCCCTTTTTGAACACATAATCTGCTTCTTCTCTCCGACTCACTTCAGGGACCCCGCAGTGCAACAGCCTTGCTCAGGAAGAAAGCGTAGGCCAGTATTCTTTTGTTTATTGATAACAAATTGAAGTGGGGAGGGATGCAAAGGTGACCATCAAGGGCTTGCCCGTGTACTGCTTAGCATAGATTCCAAAAGGCACTTGTGCCCCAAACAGTGTAAAAAAAAGCATCGGTGATAACTTACCCAAAGTGACTGGCTAAGTTCATGGAAATACAAAAGAAAAGGAGGTGCTTGATCATGATAAAGCTAGAGAACATTCCATTGTCCATTCCCAATAAGAATAATATTGAAGCAGACGAATAAGGAAAAATAACTGTTCTTTTCTCCAACTTGATCTTGAAGCTGAAAGGCACACAAAGGGGAAAAGCATGTAAATAGGAATGTCTCTCTGTCACAGTTCCTGGAGCCAAATCACACTGCTAAACTGAACGATTTATAAGGCAAGGAACCCACTCTCCTTCCTGGGCACAGCTCTACATTCTGTATTATCTGTATCCGCTGCATTAAGTTGGGGCAAAGAAGTTACAATGTCTTAATTTTCACTTTTGCTCAGAGTGCAGAATCATTCTCCTAACTTATTTTTTCCACGTCTCAAGTATTGTTTTACTTTTCAGCATATTATCAAATGACCCATTAGTCCTATTATTAGAATAAATAAAGTTATCTGAGTAACTATTTTGCATCTATCAAATCCACAAGTGGAAGAATTTTACCTTTCTGAAATACCTGCCACACGTTCAAAGCCAGCAAGCTACTCCTTGTTCTGCAAGGTGCTAAGAGAAAGTATGTGGAAAGAGGAGAAAAAAAGGCACATTTCAGAAACAAGTCTTCTACAAGAGCACGATCATGTAAGAACTGCTCACAAGTGAGGGTTGCCGCTTTCTGGGCATCCAGTCCCCATACTAAATAACTTCATAATCACTGCATTTGGGGAAGTCCCTCAGCTCTGGGCTGTGCCCTAATTAATGCATTTGAAGCCAGGAAGGCACAGTCTCTGGGCTCTGCAACTAACCTTAGTGAAGGGACATATTTCTCAATATGCGCATAACGTAAATTGATCTACAGGATTCAATAGCACCGCATGTTCAAAAGCAACATTTTCCGAAGGAGACCCCATGCAAACTTCGGGATCACGAAAACACAGAGCAGGCATTTCGACCTCAGAAAGCCAGGGCCCTCGTATCAAGATGGGCAGAGTACCATGCGGTGGTCGCCTGGCTGCGCCCTGGGGTTTGTCGCCTGACCCGGGCCGGAGTCGGGGCGGCGAGCACGCGGCGCTGCATGCGTAAAACCCGGCGGCGCCTCTTGCTGCTCTCGGCCCCCAACCACGACCCCCAGAGACAGGCTACCCTCCCACGGTCCCCCGACCGGGGTATCACGGTCGCAAGTGGGCGCGGGGGCGGCGGTGCGGCGCCGCAGCCTCTGCCGCCCGGGCTCCGGCTGCTGGGCAGGATCGGCCTCCCGTCCGGTCCGCAGCGGCGCGCCCCGCGCCTCCGTCCGCGACCCCCGCCCCTCGCCCCCCGGCTCGTTCCCGGCCCCCAGCCCTCGCCAGCCCCTGCCTCGGGTCCGAGCGGAGCGGCCCGCGGGGAAGCGCCTGCCTCCGCGGCGGGGGTCGAGCGGTGCCGCGGCGGCTCCGAGTCCCCCGGCCTCCGCCAGCCCCGCGGAGCCCGCGCGCACCTGCACGCTGCCCGGGACGCCGCGAGCCTCAGAGCCCGGGGCCGGCCGGCCCTCCAGGTGGGCGAGCTCGGCCCTGCGGTGGCCGTGCCGCCCCAGTTCCTGCCGGCGGGCCGTGAGCGCTCGGCCCCGGCCGGCAGGGCTGCACCGCTCCGGACGCGCCCGCCTCCCTCGCGGCGGTGTCCCCGCAGGCGCCGGGGGAAAGTTTACGCCCGCCGCCGCCCGGGGCGGCCCGCCGGCTCGCCACCTCGCCTTCCCGGCCATGCAGCACGCGGCTGGGGCGCCCCGAGGGGAGGGGTACGGGCGGAGCGGGGCCGCCGGTCTTCCCACCCCAGCCCGCATCTCCTCGCCCCGCTGCCCGGCCGGGCGCCCCCGGGGCTCACCCTGCGCGCTGGCCCGGGGCATCTAGCCGTCGGCGACGGTACATCCTCCTCCTACTCCGCCACCGCCGCCGCCGCCGCCGCCGCCTGCTCCACCGCCTGCGCTCGCCGGCTGGCAGGCGCGGAGGCCGGTGCGGCGTTACGGCCGCATGCTGCCGGCGCGAACTTGCCCAGTGTGCCGGGGCCGAGCGCACCGGGCCCGCGTGCCGCCGCCTCCCCGCGGCTCCGCTCTGCGCCGCCCCGAGGCCGCGCGCTGCCCCGCTGCAGACGCCCCGCGCCCCCAGCGCACTCGCGCGCTCGCTCTCACCTCTCCGAAGCGCCACATGCCGTCCCTGGGCTGGAGGAACGTGCCTCTGCAGAGGCGCTCCGGTAGAGGCCGCCAGACTCTCACCAGATGCGCCCTCGGGCCGGCTCAGCCGAGGGGGAGGGCGCAGGGCTGGCCTGGCCTGGTTTGGGATGGGCCTTGTTCCTGCTGAAGTTTCTGGAGGGAGAGTGCATTCGGTGCCTCCTGCAACAACCGCGGATCCTCTCCCTTAGAGCAGAAATGGAAAGGAAAGGCCTGCCGGCAACGGCCAGAGGCCTCGCTCCCAGAGCTTTCCTCGTCCAAGGCCAGCGCCGACCACCTTCCTAACCTGGCCTCTGTCCTTTTTCGGTCCTCAACACAGACCTCTAGATCCGCATCTCCTGTTCTTTGTAGAAAGAAAACTATCTCGAGTGGCTCCTTTTTATTTGTAATTCATTGCTACAGGTGAAAAAGAAGAAAATAGGATAAGACTAGAATAAAATTAAGCCTTACCTAATTGCGGTATACATTTGGAGGTTTTCTGAAGCCCCATTTCTTGACAAGAAACCGCGGTGTTGATCTTTCAAGGACCAAATGGGGACCGGGACACCGGCGCATTGCACTCCCTGCCTCCCGCACCCATGCACACGTGGGGTGTGGTTACCAGGATTGTGTCGGTCTCCGTGAAGCAGAACCTGAGAGGTGAGTGTGGCACTGGTAATGACTGGACGAAAAAACAGGGCCCCTTCCAGCGGCGCCTGCAAGATGGACGCAAAATCAAGCACATGCCCTAATTTTAAGATTGCAGCTCTTTTTCCTCAGAAGAAATGCACAGGGAGAAATGGTCAAGATTTAAAGTAAAGCCACCAACCAAGAACATGATGAGATTTTTATTATTTCAAACCTTTTGTGGCACTGCATTGTTTATAGTCACTTTTAATAGAACAATTTTGAGAAAAGGCAAATTTCTAACTTTCATCCAGGAAGAATCTACTTTTTCAGATTGCGACATCACTATTCTTCAGTTAGGTCTAATGTTATGTACTCCAAATCTAAGCTACCTCTGATACTTTTGCACATTCCAAAATTCTGGAATTTTCTGAAAATAATAAATTGTAAATGTATTTCAGGACCAGGACATAAAAAAAAAGAAACATTGCAAATATGCACAAGAAGTGTTACTCTGATTATACATTTAACCACAGTGTTAAATTCTACAGGTTCTGTATGAAATATAATTAGATAAGATGCTCATTTAAAAGGCTTTTCTGATTCTAAATTGGATCAATTGAACACATGCATTTCTTTGTTTTCCAATTTCTCAGTCACTAAGATCAGGTTCATTAACTGTCAAATCATTAAATTGAAAATAACTAGAATCAATATAATTTTATAATCAACTTAATATAATTTTCACCAAGTAGGTGTGAGAATTCTAGGTTTAAAGATACCAGTGACAGCTAATCTTCTCTTAAGATTAAACAGCATAAGGCAAATCAGATTTCAAATAACTAGTGAATTTAAAGCTCTACAGATTATCAAAGTCATTCAGTAATCTTTGCAAAAAGCAGTGTAGATAAATTAGGGATTACTTTTGGATTAGTGAAATTCATGGACATTAATTTTCAACAATTATGCCTTTTCAAGGTGTTTATTATTGACAAATAGTGAATGAAATATCAACTGTAAGTTAATTTATGTCCTTTTGATGAATTATTTTTGAAGTTTCCATGTTTTTGGTAAGTTGCCTATCAGTTTCAGTGCAAAGTATTGAACATATGGAAATTATCTTAAGCAAGATCTAATTTTTAAATTTTTTTTAAGCATGTGGCTTAAATATTTACATGATGAAATGGTAACCCAGAGTCTTCTCTTAATACTTATGAACATATAACAAAGACTTGGTCTGATGGCCCTGAGGGAATAATAAAATAGTAAGACATATCATAATCTTATAGAAACTCACATTTTAGGAGAATATTTATTATCATTTTAATAATGTTTATTTTAATATGGAATTCAGTGTTTCCCCTGAGAAACAATGGTCTATCAGCTGTATGCCTATTTGTTCCATTAACATTGTTCTCTTTTATTGAATGACTTAAAACAAAGTAGTTATGGTTTTGGAAAGCAGTAGAGGGCACCCCTGTTCCATATAACCTCAGTTTTGGACCAATCTCAATAAGAATTTACTTTGCAGTGTGAAAGCCTAAAATAGCTGAACTTGGAGAAGCTGGACAACGGGTGGAGCCCTTGCCTGGAGAACACCCAGGACAGAGGCAGACTGGGGAGCTCTGTGTGGGTCGATGGGTGTAGTAGAGATGATGAAACCATGAATTTTCAGTTTTGCGATGAGTATTGCCATGAGGAAGCAGAGTTTGGGCAGGAAGCTGAATGGAGGATGTTCTAAGTTAAGAGCCCACTTGTGCAGAGTAAGGCATTTTCATGGAACTCTGTGAACTTTTGTATTAATGAAGAATCAAGTACAAAGTAAAGACAGGAAGGGGTAAGCTGAGACAGGTACACTGAGGCCAGGCAGAAGTCAGAAAATGTGGAGCTCAGGAGGTAACTTTCTCCTGCAATTGAGAAATAGCTATTGAATAGTTATGCTGATCTGGGAAAAACATGACTAAAAAGATTCATCCTGGCAACTATATAGAGAAAATGTGTTGGAAGATGCAAATCTAGGCAAAAAGCATGTAAGAACATCACAGGGCTAGCCCATGATAGGAATTTAATAAATGCTTGATTTACTTCATTAATGGAATGATAAACTCGGTATTCTCATGAATTCAAAGCAGATTTTAGTCCTTTGCCCAGAAAGAAACATGATGGAAGATGGTCTTCGTTGTTATGGAAACAGAAAGCTTGAGAAGAAGGAAAATTCCTAGGAAAAAATGGCAATTGTTTGGACTCTGAAAAAGAACTTGGACAGAAAATAACAGAAAAGGCAAAAGAAAAAACAGGAACAAAAGTAGAAGGGTACAGAGCACACTAAGTACCAAGTGCTCCATTCACAGAAAGTACACTGTATAATTTTAATCTACCATTCTTTTTATTTTACCTTATTTAAATAAGAGCTCTCATTTAGTCATCTGAAAGGTACATGTAGACTACAGACATGTTTTAATTACCCAACATTATTTTAAAAAAGAGACATTTAAAAACCAGAATATTTCACATAAATAAATGGATAAGTAAGTAAATGAATGAATAAACACTCCAGATTTCTGGCTTTGACCTAAAGAGAAAAAATAAAAAGCAGATTTAACAATTGTGGACATACATTCCCAGCTTCTCATCCCACCCCCACCTCGCTTATGCTGAGCACGGAGTCCTTAGAGGAACACAATCTATTCCTTCTTTACACTTAGCCTGCCCACCTTCACCTATGTTACCGGGAAAATAGAAGCATCTGAGGTTTTTAAAAAGATTTACGATTTTTATCTGATCCCATTTTCTATTATTGGCTTGTTATATTCATTTTGTTTTTACTAATTGCTCTGGGTTTAAATAGACATCTTTAAATTATATCCTACCTTTAACATACCATTGCACGTATAGTATATGAATCCTACAACAATATACTTTTATTTTGTTTCTTCTCCTATTTGCTGTTGTCACACATATTACTTCTACACAGGTTAATTAGTCAATTATCTTTTACTTTAAAAGTCAATTTGTTTTAAATTATGGCAAAATATACAGAATATAAAATTTACATTTAACCCTGTTTAAGTGACATTAAATTCATTCACATTGTTGTGCAACCATTACCACTATTCATTTCCAGAACTTTTTCATTATCCGCAACTAAAATTCTATAGTTATTAATAATTATACTCACCATTCTTTTTCCCCCTACTCCCAGCTTCTGTAACAACTGCTCTACTTTCTATTACTTATGAATTTGATTGTTATATAAGTACCTCATATGAGCGAAATCACATAATAATTATCCCTTTGTGTCTTGCCTATTTTACTTAGCATATTTTTGAGATTCATATATGTTGTAGCATATATTAGTACTTCATTCCTTTTTTAAGCCAGAATAATATTCTGTTGTATGGATATACCACAATTTGTTTATCCATTCATGTGTCCATGGACACTAGAGTTGTTTCCACTTTTTGACTGTTGTGAATAATGTTGCTGTGAACATTGGTGTACACATATCTGTTCAAGCCCCTGCTTTCAATTTTTTTTCTTTGTATTTATACAGCAGTAGAATTGCTGAATCATAGGTAATTATATGTTTAATTTTTTGGGAAACTGTCCCATTGTTTTCCATAGTGGCTACACCATGCTACATTCCTAACAGCAAGAATTCCAACTCCTCCACATCCTGAACAGTACTTGTATTTTATGATTGCCACTCTAATGGGTTTGAAGTGATATCTTCTTTTTGTTTTGATTTGCATTTCCCTAATGTTCAGTGATATTGAGCATCATATCAAGTGTTTATCAGCCATTTATATATCTTCTTTCAAGAAATGTCTGTTCAGGAGCTTTTCCTGAAATACGTTTTGTTTTTTTTTGGATGCTGTTTTGGAGTTATAGGAGTTTTTATGTATTTTGGATATCAATTCCTTATCAGATATATGATTGAAAGTATTTTGTGGGTCACCATTCTACTCTGTTATGTCCTTTGATGCACAAATTTTTTTATTTTGATGAAGTCCAATTTATCTGTTTTTCTTTTGTCACCTGTCCTTTTGGTGTCATATCCAAGTAATTTTTCCAAATTCAAATTCATGTCATGAAGCTCCCCCTTATGTTTTCTTCTAAAAATTTTATACTTTTAACTCTTACAGTTATATCTTTGACTTGTGTTGACTTTATTTTTGTATACGATGTTAGGTAAGGGTTCACTTAATTCTTTTGCATGTGAATGTCCAGTTTCCCTAGTACCATTTGTTGAAAAAGACCATTCTTTCCCTCATTGAATGGTCTTAGCACCCGTTAGTAAGTCATTTAACCACATATGT